ACAACCTGCCCTCATTGGAAGCAATTCAGCAGGGAGCAATCGCTGAGTTAAGGAAACGGTCGTAATAACCCATAGGAAATCTGAAGGATAAGTCCGATATGCGAAGCTGAGCCTCGCCCGGGATATGAGGGGAGCCCGGCCTGTGTCGACTAATGTCGACTTGCTAATAGTGTGTCAGCTGGTGCTGACTCGGCTTTGTCCTTACCCGCCGTGGTGCCCAGCCACAGCAGTAACCTCCAGGCGACAATTGCAACTTTCTCGCGCCTGGGCGGGGCGCGAACCGCCGACCCCTCGGATGAAAGGCCGACACGTTACCACTGTACTAGCCCGGAGGCTGGTAATCAGAAGAAAGATTTAAGGTTATATCTAGTATTACTGCGGAGTTGACTGTAGATTCCAGTCCGTCTTCCCCTCGAAGTCAGTGGACGGAGAGCCAAGAAGCTGAAATCCATCTGTATTTTTTTTTATTTTTTATTTTTTTTACTTTCATATAATTCCATTTTGTCATTCCTATATTATAGGACACTGAACAAAAGAAACTACACTTACACCAGTGAAATCATTTGAAGTACATTGACACGACAAATACAATACCTATTAAAAGAAGGACCCAATAGTCTCGCGCGATAAAGGTATATATGAATGAGTATATCAGTGATGATGACATATGTAAATAAGTATATACTTAATTCCTCTTAAGCTTTTCCATGATTAGTGATGAAAAATTTTGTCAGAATTTTGCCATACTGATCTGAAGTTTCAATCATTTGAAATATCTATTAAATCTACCTGAAATAAACTTTGATCAAATTTCGAGAATAAAGGAATACGAAGATTATTGTAAGTTACAAATCAGCCAAACATTAGCATTAACAGGGAATCAACGGAAGAGGTTAGAGATTTCTCTAGTTTGAATGATTTCCATAGAATATAGAACTGGGTAAAGCTATTTATCACAGTTCTATCTACTTATCTATCTGTTGATCGTTCTGCCTTAGTTCTAGTTTGCTTGTTTTGAATCTTTATTCGTCTCTATACTCTCTTTCTTTCTTATTCTCCACTCCTTTCCTTGTTATCGCTTCCGGTGTTCTTTAGTGGCAAAAGTGCTGCGTCATTATGATTTGTGAGTTTGTTCTCTATCACTATGCGTCTATTTGTTCAGAACTATATCTATTGCTATTTACTCCTTGTTGCCTCTCTCTCTCTCTCTCTTTCTCTCTATCATTCTCTCCCTCTCTCTAACTCTTTCTATCTATCTATTGCCTCCCTCTCTTTCTCTCTCTCTCTCCTCCCTCTCTTTCTATCTATCTATTACTATTTATTCCTTGTTGCCTCTCTCTCTTTTTCTCTCCCAACCCCTCTCTCTCTCTCTTCTCTCTCTCTCTCTCTCTCTTTCTCTCCCTCCCTCTCTCTCTCTCTCATTCCCTCCCACTGTTTATGTTAAATTTTCAATCCCCAAAGCTAAGAATTTTTTTACGCTTAATATTTTCTTGGATTTTCCCTCATACTGGATTTTCCTTTTTGTGGTTCAATTCTGAATCTGAAACATTTTACGTGGAGTTCCAACAAAACAAGAAAATAGTGCACTTTCGGTCCCTGTGGCTTACATGGGGACCACAGAGCTCTGAAAATGTGTCATTGTTCATGTACGATCAATACTAGCAGAACATGCTCATAAAAATTAGTTTACACACACACACACATATATATTGATGTATGTATAACGGGAGAAAGCTGTTGTGGATATCCTAGGCAGTTTTGGAATGCACAAGAATCTCTTCGCATAGATATTGCTTTCATTTATTTCGTCATCGTTATCTTCCATGGTTGTATATGTTGAAAAGCTGGAAGTTCACTGCAACATAGCAGGGAATTGGACATGTGGATGTTTTTGTAGTCATTGCAATTTCTAAGTTGTCTCGCTTGGAGGTAGTGATTTTTAAGAATTCAGCTTGATTTTGTCTCGAGATTGTCTTTTTCCTGTTACCATGGCAATGACCATATCTGCCAATTCTATAAATATGCGGCGAAAGTGCGAAATGCATTTTGCATTTTGTTGAGGGCATGTATGGAGAAGATTTTAAAATTTATAATTTATTTTCAACAGTGCCGTAACGAAAGATAATCGAACTCAAAATAACGAAAGAAAATAGGAAGTTAAAAGGTCCCGATAAAGAAAAGGAGAAAGAAAACGGAGGGTTATCCGAAAGGCGACGAGGCCTGTTGCTCAGTCGAGGACCCGGATGGGAAGCTGTAGTTCCCGGATTGGAAGTCCTAGTTCCCGGATGGGAAGTTCTGGATGCAGTTGCTTGACAGGCAGTTGCGGAAGTCGGGGACATCCTGCAACGATGAGGGGACTCACGTTAGACAAATGAATAATATGAATTGATAAATGGTACAAACAATAATCATAACCATATTCACCCATACTTTCATATTATCACTACAATCTACAAATGTAGTTGTAGATTGTTGTGCCAAAAATATGAAGTACATTGGTCCGATAAGATAATACTGTGAAAATGGAGCTCACCGAGACAGTGACTGGAAGAGTGCAGCTTGCAAGTGCATTCAACATGACATCCAAGACGTCGGGAGAGCCTTCCAAATTGGCGCGCAATTTCTCTTCGATCTGTGCGCTCATCAGTTCACCGTTAATGTTGCCACTTTCGTCAGCCTGTAGACAGAAGAGGAAAAAACGCCCATGTTCAAACAGCTTTGAATTTCAGGTATAGTTTTCGTTTCTAATCAGATCATATAAACAGCGACTCACCAATGCTACTGCAGGATAAAACGAAGCTAACCATTACTCTCTTCTCCTGTAATCTGACGTCCCTAAAATTTCACCTAAAGAAGAGGCGAAGGACCTCCCTAAAACAAGCCAACCATCACTCCCGCCCCCGGAAACCGACGTCCCTAAAATCTTACCCACAGAGAGGAAGGCGAAGGAACTCCCTTTAAACTCCATTATCCACCGGAATCCCCACTCACCAGGCCCTTCGAACTCAGCACGCAGATACGCATATTGTCGATGGTTTCCTGGGTCGCGTCCAGCTTGTCGAAGATCTCCTCCTTCCCGCCCGAGGCCCTCATGGCGGCTGCGATCTGGATGGGCGTGATGTTGTTCTCGCGGGCGCATGTGAGGATGGTGTCTCTGTTGGCCTGGGCGTCCTCAGAGCCGCGGCGGATGTTGCGGCAGCGGCGCACGCGGGAGAGGCATTCCCTTCGCTCGAGGTTCCCGCATGCGGCCTCTGTTGGAGAGGAAAGGGTTCATTGCCGGAAGAAATGGAATGGAAATTGGATATATATATTTTTTAAAAAATTATAGATGGGATGTATTATCTTCGGTAAAGTTAAGAAGCTGGATATTGGGACAAATAGGTGAATATTTGAACAAAGACAACAAATTGACTCACCCAAGTCCTCTCTTGCCGGCAGGCGCTGAGCGGAGACGGCCACAACGAGAACGGCGAGGCAGAGAACGACCTTCATGGCTGCGAGTGAAGAAGTGTGCGGAATCTTCTCCAGCTCGGCGTTATATACTCTTGCCCCCCCCCCCCCTTTCTTCCCTGTCCATTGTAAGTGACCTTCATCGACAGACGCACGCACTTAATAACATACATACATTCATACATACATACATGCATACCTGTATATATGTATGTGTGTATGTATGTGTGCGCGCGCGCGCGTGTGTGTGTGTGTATGTTTGTCTGTATTAAATATATATATATATTACACACACACACAAATATATATATATTATGTATATGTATATGTGTGTGTGTGTATGTATACATATTAATTTGTATATAGAGATAGTTACATATATGAATACATAACTATCTATATGCCTGTGTGCGTGTGTATGTGAGTGTGTATATGTGTATGTGTGTGTGTGCCTGTGTGTGTGTATATATATAAATATATATATATATACGCGCCCACAGCCATGGGTTTCCCTCTTAATACATATATATTGCAAACACACATACACATACATATATATATCATGTATATATATATATATATATATGTGTGTGTGTATGTATACATATCAATTTGTATATATAGTTACAAATATGAATACATAACTATCTATATGCCTGTGTGCGTGTGTATGTGTGTGTGTACATATCAATTTAGATATAGAGATAGTTACATATATGAATACATATCTCTCTATATGCCTGTGTGAGTGTGTATATGTGTATGTGTGTGTGCGTGTGTGTGTATGCATATGAATTTAGAAATAGATATAGTTACATATATGCATCATATCTATCTATATACATGTGTGTGTGTGTGTATCTGTGTGTATGTGTATATATATACATATATATGCACGTGCCCACAGCCATGGGTTTCCCTCTTCACTCCCGGGATACCCACGGGAGTGAAGCTTCGTCAGAAAATGTTTCATTCAGTGGTCCGAAGCAGGTTTGTTCTTCATTCATTTGCTTTCATTATCTCCGTCCTGTTTTGACTTTTGATTTTTTCGTAAAGTTCGAATACATTTTTATTGCCCTTTGTGTGTGTGTGAGTCTTATGTGTGTGTATTTTTGTTTGTTTGTGGCGCAGAATTGGGTTTCATGAGGACTTAAAACTTTAAAATCGTTTTGTAATAAAAAACAATGTTGGACAGAGTTTTGTAGCCGGGCGTGTATGGAATGTAAATATCAACATTTGTTTAACGGGTGTTTCGAATGAACATGTATATTCACATGTGTGTTTGTGTGTGTGTCTGTTAGTTTTTTGTCTTTAGAGTTGAAAACTTTTTTACGTTTAGAATTTGGCTGGATTTTCCCTTTTGTGTTATAATTCTTGATAGATCTAAAACCTATTTTGCTCCGAGCAAAATAAAGAAGAGAGTAACTGAGATTTGATCCAAACCCCAAGCGCACTTTTGGTCCCTGCTGCTTCCTTGGGGCCCGACGAACGCTTCAAATGTGTTTATAGACTGTATTATCATAGTTTATCATTCATCATACTCCCATTGCTCATTGTGTGTATGATCAACACTAACAGTCGTCAAAAATAGTACTGGGGCTGCTGCGGATTTGCGGGCCCCAAGGTCTAATTCCACAGCTCGTAAGATTTAGTTAACACACACACATACATACATATATATATATTGGTATATGTATATATATGTATATATATGTGTGTGTTTGCGTCATTAAGATTTGTGAGTTTCTTCTCTTTCTCCATTCATCTATTTATCCAGATTTTTATCTACTGCTGTTATGTCTTCCTGATTCTCTTTCTCTGTTAAGTTTTCTATCTGCAGTGTTGATTTTTTTTTCATTTAGAATTTGGCTGGGTTTTCCCTTTCGTGTTTTAATTGATAACTCTAAAACATATTTTGCTCAGAGCAAAATAAGGAAGAGAGTAACAGATTTGATCCAAACCCCAAGCGCACTTTCGGTCCCTGTTGCTTCAGTGGGGTCCGACGAGCGCTTTAAATGTGTTTATAGACTGTATTATTATACTTTATCAATCAAGATCAACATATTCCCCGTAACTCATAAGATTTAGATAACACTCACATTATAAATATGTGTGGGTTTGTTTAGGAAACGGAAGAATGGGTATGTAGATAACCATGGCAGTTTTAGAATGCACAAGTGTCGTTCGCATATTTATTGCTTTTGTTTCATTACAGCTCCATTATCAGCCAAGTTTGTGTATATATAGAAAAGCAGGACCAAAGCTGTGAAATGGACATGTGGATGTTTTTTGTAGCCATTGCACTTTGGACGTTCACTGTTGCCTCGGTCGGAGGCAGTGATCCCTTAGAATTAGTTTGATTTTGTGTCAAGATTGCCATTGTTTCGTTTCTTGTTATGGCAATGACCATGGCTGTCAATTGTATAAAAAGCTATTATACAACGAAAGTGTACCGTGTATTTGTATTTTGTTAAGGGTAATCTTATACCAGGGGAAAGATTTATAAATTTAATTATTTATTTTCAACAGTGCCGCAACGAAAGATACCCAAACTCAAATAACGAAAGAAAACAGGAAGTTAAAAGCACCCGATAAAGAAAGGGAGAAAGAAAACGGAAGGTTGTCCAGAGGCGACGAGGCCTCCTGTTGCTCAGTCGGGGACCTTGGCGCCTAGTTCCCGGATGGCAAGTTCTGGATGCAATCGACTGCCAGGCACTTGCGGAAGTCGGGAACATCCTGCAACGATGGAGGGACTCACGTTAGACAAGGGCTCGAAACCATACTCATACATACGCCCAAACATGGATGTTATTACAGCTATGTAGCTGTGAAAAAAATGGAACTCACCGAGACAGTGACTGGAAGAGTGCAGTTTGCAAGTGCATTCAACATGACATCCAAGACGTCGGGAGAGCCTTCCAAATTGACGCGCAGATTCTCTTCAATCTGTGTGCTCATCAGTTGACTGTTTAGGTTGCCATTTTCGTCTGCCTGTAGACAGAGGAGGAAAAGCGGAGGCGTTAAAAAAAGTTTTACATTCCAGGTACATTTTTCGCTTTGAAGCAAGAGAGATGAAACAGCGACTCTCCAGTCCTGCCACTGGGTACAGCGAGCTTATCTTAGGTAGTTTTGGAATGCACAAGAATCTCTTCGCAAGATATTGCTTTTATTTATTTCGTCATCGTTATCAGCCATGGTTGTATATGTAGAAAAGCTGGAAGTTCACTGCAACATAGTAGTGAATTGGACATGTGGATGTTTTTGTAGTCATTGCAATTTCAATATTGTCTCGCTTGGAGGTGGTGATTTTTAAGAATTCAGTTTAATTTTGTCTCGAGATTGCCTTTTTCTGTTACCATGGCAATGACCATAACTGCCAATTCTATAAATGTGCGGCGAAAATGCGAAATGCATTTGTATTTTGTTGAGGGTATGTATGGAGAAGATTTTAAAATTTATAATTTATTTTCAACAGTGCCGTAACGAAAGATAATCGAACTCAAAATAACGAAAGAAAATAGGAAGTTACAAGGTCCCGATAAAGAAAAGGAGAAAGAAAACGGAGGGTTAACCGAAAGGCGACGAGGCCTCCTGTTGCTCAGTCGAGGACCCGGATGGGAAGCTGTAGTTCCCGGATTGGAAGTCCTAGTTCCCGGATGGGAAGTTCTGGATGCAGTTGCTTGACAGGCAGTTGCGGAAGTCGGGGACATCCTGCAACGATGAGGGGACTCACGTTAGACAGATAAACAATATGAATTGATAAATGGTACAAACAATAATCATAACCATATTCACCCATACTTTCATATTATCACTACAATCTACAAATGTAGTTGTAGATTGTTGTGCCAAAAATATGAAGTACATTGGTCCGATAAGATAATACTGTGAAAATGGAGCTCACCGAGACAGTCGCTGGAAGAGTGCAGCTTGCAAGTGCATTCAACATGACATCCAAGACGTCGGGAGAGCCTTCCAAATTGGCGCGCAATTTCTCTTCGATCTGTGCGCTCATCAGTTCACCGTTAATGTTGCCACTTTCGTCAGCCT